TACTAGATAGAAGTCTACTTTGGTCCGAGACGTCTACTCGAGAGAAGTCTACTTCGGTCCGAGAAGTCTACTTAACCCTAAACCCTAAATCAATTTTTTTAATTAAAACTTATATGAAAACATTAATTACTTACCATATTGACAAGTCATAGTTAAAATAACAAATATATGAACCATGATTCATTAACTGAACCATAAACTATGATTCATATAGAATTTGTGCAAACCCTAAGAATTACACTCTTATACCCTAAACCCTAAACCTCAACCCTAACCCTTTTGATTTGTATACTTATGAAACTTATAAATTGATTCATTTTCATGATTTTTTTTTATACAGATGCTAAATGTATCTTTTTTAATTGTGTATATAATGTTTTTACCAAATTATTTTTCATAATTTTTAAAATTAGTGGTAAAGAAATTAAAAGAAAGTCTACTTTAGAATCCGAAAAGTCTACTTAGTATTGATTTCTAAACCTAATTTATCTATGATTATTTAAATTAATTATTTTGTGTCAAATTTTATTTTTAATAGGTGTAAAAGTATATGTTTTTGTTATTTTGATAATTTTTTTACCAAATTATTTTTCATAATTTTTTTAATTAATGGTAAAGACATTATTCCAAAGTAGACTTCTCGACTTCTCGGAGAAGTCTACTCGAGAAGTCTACTCGAGCTCGAGTAGACTTCTCGGGGATAAAATAGTCATTGCGACGAGCGTTTTTTTGTTTGGTCAGAAGGGATAATATTGTAATTTCACTATCCCTGTGAGTTATTTTTGTCAAACATGCAATAGGGGGTCTAGTTTTGCAATTCAAATCAAGTTTTGAGTCATATTCAGCAATTCTCCCAAATAAAAATAAAAATATGTATAGTTGTCGAAAAAAAAATTCTTCAAATAACCACCTGTTTAACATTTCTCTAATGATATCTAACAAAGGAATGTTTGGATATTCTCTTGGTTTCACCAATGCAGCATTTATCAATTCAGCAGGGTTATTGGTCCTAACATCATACATGAAACTATGAAATAGACAACGAGCCCATTTTCTCACATCAGCATCTTGTAAATATTTTCTAATCCATGGACTAATATTTCAGATATCTTTGAAGTATCTCTCAAAATCAGCAATCATGTATGCTCTTGAAGCCTTTGGAATGAGGCCAGTCAAACCCTTTCCCTTGAAACATGCTACCATATTATTCAGCAAATGGTGAATGCAAATTTCATGTCTAGAACGAGGGTACACTTTTATGAGTGATTTTTTTTCGATTGGTAGACAACAGAGTAAATGACAGAAAATGTATTCTACCATCGGTAGATGATAGTGAAAATAGTAGAATATATATAATAAGCAGAACATGTATTATGCCAAACCGTAGATGGTAGAATTTGAATTCTAACTTTCAGTAGAAAAGAAAGAAAATTACTTTTAAAAGCAATTTTTTCATAAATGAATAGTTCTTTGTTTTTATGTAATTTTCACAACATAAACTGATTTTTTCAGATTTTAAAATAATTTATTAAAATTTTGTAAAATTTTAATAAGAATTATTTAATCAAAAATTGACAAAATTTTAAAAATATTTAGTGGAACAATAAGTTACTTTTTTTTACCTATTTTCACAAATTTCCCTATATTATATACACTTTGACCCACTTCTCTCGTCAAAATTAATATCTCATCAACTTCATGTATCGTCCATCATCTAGATATCTACACGCATTAACTCATCTTACTTTCTCTTCCGTAAACCAATATATATACCATGACTTGTGCATAATAATAATAATCATTCATCAAACTCAGATAAAATCCTTTAATAACTCTCAAATCTCAAATCAGATATATGTCTATGCAGAGGCGGAGCCAGTAAGGTGAGAGGGGGGGTCAGCTGACCCCACCTAATTAAAAAGTTTCTCTATTTTTTTTGGTCAAAATAGTTTATGACCCCATTAAATTTTCTTAATTGACCCCATAAACAAAAAGAAAAAAACATGAAAGAGTAAATTGTATCTTCATTTTGGGCTTAATTTTAATGGATTTACATCAATTCATCATTTTTATGGATTTAATTAATTATTAGCTAATAAAACATAATCTACAGAAAAAAAAAACCTCAAACAAATTTGTCCCTTTCATCATTAAAATTTTTTACATGTGTTTTTATATTTTCAATTTTTTATTGTCTATCAAAGAACTAAAACATCTCATGTATTCACTTGTTCAAGTTAATTTTGTTTTAATATTTTGTAATTTATTTTAGTCTCTTTAGATTACTCATAAATATTAAGGTTTTTTATAATATATTCAAATACTTTTAGTTTTTAATTTGTTACTTTCACAAAATAATTAATGGATAGATTATTGAAAGAAAAACTTCATAAATAAATGATACAAAAATATATTGGTGATCAGTTTTTTAAAAACACTCTTTTTCCAAAAAAAATTATTATATAATTTTTATATTTATACCTATTTTCAGTAATTTATAAACTACATCAAAAAAAAATCTGACCCCAGTAAATAATAATTCTGGCTCTGCCATTGTGTCTATGGGTTCCCTCAAAATGATCTTCCAACCACTCTCACTTAACATCTTAACTTTAAGACCACCTCCATCGGTGGTTTTTAACAAAGTATCTAAACAATAAACAATTATTAAAAAGAAAAAAAGATGGAGAGAGAGTAATAAACGTTGTTTATTTAATGAATTTTGTATAAGTTTGTAAAGATTGTAAGAGACTTTGGTGACAGATGTTTATATATAAGAGGTTTAAAAATCTGAAACTTCTCTCTCTTCAGATTTTATTAAAATATTAATATTTTTTATTTTAGATACTCTTTTTACAATTTTTACCGATGGACATGCTCTAATCTTCGCTTCCCTTAGTTCCGGCCGTTTCATTTACCACATTAACTCTGTACTGTCTTCTGCCACTACACCATTAGAAACTGCCTTCAATGGAGTCGTTATGAAAGTCGTGGAGCTTACAACAGCTAGGCGGATTCAGATTTCGTTACCCAATTGTAATGGCGCTAGTCTTTCCGTTCAGTAACGCTGCAGCGTCTTTTACTAAAATCAACGACGTCCTTTTTGTAAACATATTACTCATAAAACTGTCCAACATAATCAAATGATATATTATGCGGATCCTATCCTCGATAATATTTTTATTTCTTTTGGTTCTATGTATTTTATTTTTAAAGGGTCTATAAATAAATATATGATTTGGTTGAAAATCTTGTTACTTACATGAATCATATTTGTGTCTATCAATATATGAAAATTTTAAAATAAATTTTGACCAAAAAAATTAAAATAAATATATAATAAAAAATCTTACATACTGTATCTTACATATTTAAAATGCAACGTCAGAATTATAAAAGTTTTGATGGGTTGACTTTAAATCAACACCTTTCACTTTCAGTTTTGTATTGATATTCTAATATCCATACATATGTCAAATTTACATAACAGTAATACACTAAAAATAGTCTGGAAAATTATAACTGTAAAATCCACACTGAACAGATTTCTAATAATATTCAGCTTGGCTAAACATAAAACATATTTGGTTGCTTTTAATCAAACCTTTCAGTTCAGTTAGAAAAAAAACTACTATCTTTTTGGTTTTGAAACTGAAATTTAGATCCTCAGTTTAAGCTTTCATTGATTAATTAGATTGAAAAAAAAATATATGCACATTTGACAAGTCTACTTTTTAAAAATTTGTGCAGACAAAAATCTATTATTCTCTGGGAGAAAAAAATTGAGAACAAATTTCTTCTGAATTTATAAAAGGGAAATTTGACTCAGTAACCATTATAAACATGTTATTTAGTTTTGTAACCATATCAAATTTGTGGCTATGATATTCTTTGTATAATGTGTATAATACCCAAATTGACCTTTGTATTTTATACTATATTTTTTATTTTTTTATATTTTATATTTTGTGAATATTCTATATTTTTGGATAAAAATATATTTTGTGACCATTTTGCTGAAAAATGAGAGAATAAAAAATAATTCGAGTTATCCTACACACATAATAACTTTGATTTATGTTCGAGGGTTTGGGTATAGTAAGTACTAGTTTGCGTTTAATTTTAAATCATGTAAGTTTATTTTCAGAAGTTTATAGCGGATTAAGAATTACGGTAGATAAAATAACATAGTTTATGTTTGGAGGTTTGGGTATAGTAAGTAGTGGCTTAGATTCAGTTTTTAATGAATTCGTGTTACTCTACATATGTAATAACTTTAGTTTATATTCGAGGGTTTGGGTATAGTAAGTACTAACTTAGGTTTAGTTTTAAATTATATGAGTTTATTTGCGGAGATCTACAACGGATTAAGAATTACGGTATATAACATCATACAGTTTATGTTCGGGGATTTTGGTATAGTAAGTAGTGGCTTGAGATTAGTTTTAAAATTTGTGAGTTTATTTTCAGGCGTCACAATTTTTTTTTCTATTAACTAGTTTATATTATTTTGTAAGATAAAATAACAAAAAAATAATATTGAACAAAATAGTTTGGAGTTTAGTTTTATCGTTTGAAACTTATATATTATAATTTAGGTGTAGTAAATAGTATGTTCACTTAAAATGATCCTTAAATTCAGTTATAATTAGTAAAGATTATGGATAACGTCATATAGATAACAAGTTTATACTATTTTACAAAATAAATTGTATAGACCGGAAAACAAAAGAATATAGAATATAGAATGATATATGTGTATGTACAAAATAGTATAGAATCTTTAGATTTTTTTTCCTAGTGTAAAAATATTTTGGTTTAATAAATTAAAATGGTTAGGGTTTTTAGTTAGTTAGTTTATTTCAAATTTTTTATGGAAATTTAATTTTATAGTTCAGTATTGTTAGTCACCAAATTGACCCAATAGAAAATAATGGACTCCAAAAAAGAGTATTTAAGCTTACGCCCATTTCTAAACTACCAATGATCTATAGTGTCTCGCGGCCCACTCATTGGTCCGAGACGCAATTTCTTCTCTCGTAGCTTTTTGATTTTGATTCCGGTTTCTGGATTCATCTAGAATATCTGAGAAAGTGCCCCTCTCCTTCCACCTGTTCTTTCTTCTCTCTCCTGAAGCTCTTCACTTGCTCTGTGCTCAAAATTTTAAAAAGCCTCGCGACAATCTCTATAGCCACAGTTCGTCATCTTCATTCAAGAATTTCAACTCGCATCATCCTAACTTTTTCGTTCTCTCGAATTCAGTAGATTTCAATTTTCCTCTGAAGGCGTTGTTCGCCGTTTGACAAAAAAAAACATGGCGGGATACGATTGCTTGCCGATGAAGATGAAGAGGAAGGAGATTGACCGAGTGAACGACGAGTTCTCGGATTTTTCCCTCTCTTCTCCTGCCAGGAAGATTCGCCGACTGGTAATTCGTCTTTTTTCTCTTCTGATTTCGAGAAAAATTTGCTGTTATTTGATTTGAAAACCCTAAGTTTCATTGTATGTTGTTCTTCGCGGTCGTGTATCTGTATCACTGGGATGATGTTGATGTGATTGATTGCATTTGCTATGCAAACAGGATTTGGATTTGCCACCGATTATGGAGGAAGAAGTTGATTTGCCGCCGGTTATGGAGGAAGAGGAGATCCAGTCTGCTCCGGCGAATGAAGAGAGAGCAATTGTTCTTTTCAAGCCTCTCCAACACTACTCACCTCAACTTTTTGTTGATAGAAGCTTGATTTCAGAATTCAATAGTAAGTTCTTAACTAAACTTTCATTGTGATCAAGTTTTGCAAGTTTAGATTCCGTAAATTAGCTGATTTTTAACGATTGAATTGGTGTTTGAAGAACAAGTATATGCTCACTAGGAGTTTCCTTTGGATATGCAGATAGATTTCTTCACGATGCAGCTGATGATCTCTATGATGAAGATGATAGAAGAAAGAAGAACCAAGCTGTTGTTCCATGGAACCCATCTCAGTTGCAGCTCCTGGGATCCTGGGAACCGCCCAAGCCAGAGATTGTTGAGTTGGATGGTGAAGATGCGATGATGGAAGAAGCAGCCATGGATGTGGAAGAAGAAAACATCAGCAGCAGTAGTAGTAGTGTGTCTCTGCCTCAGTGGCAGCAGCAGCAGCAGCAACAACAGCAGCTTCATTGTATGATACAGCAGCTTCCCCATACCAATTCATCTCCGATCTCTTGGTTTCCATGACTTCGTATGTAAACGTAGAAGCAGTATTTGTTCTCTAGCTGTGTATCTTCCTTAGAAGAAGCTAACCTACACTCAGGAATAATATTTCTCTCATCAGCGTAGTTAATTATCAACTTGATTCAATCTTCTCCATGAGCTCTTTGCACTCACAATAGGACAAGTAATTTAAATTAACACTGATCACAGAGACATGGAGCCAATCTCTTAAGATAGTTAATTCGTACCTAATGATAATTTTAGTTGATCAAGTCTTACGATTTGTAAACACTTGATCACAGATACATTTCCTGAGAGACCTAGGCTCAGAATTAACGACGTTTCAGCTGCACCCTTCAGGCCACCCTATCAATCCTGACTTCCTGAGCTATTTCTTGTTCTTGAGCAAACTAAAGGAAGCAACAACAACAGAAACTTGGATGAACACGGAACTTGGATGAAAACATATATGTTCCAGTTGTTAATGTTAGGCTTGTGGGTTATTCTCTTTCAAGTTTTAGTTTGGAAATCAAAGATTTTGATTGATAGAGTGATGAACACGGAACTTGGATGAAACCGTTTATGTTCAGTTGTTAATGTTAGGCTTGTGGATTATTCTTTTTCAAGTTTTGGTTCGGAAATCAAAGATTTTGATTGATAGAGTAATGAACACGGAACTTGGATGAAAACATATATGTTTGATTGGTGCTTTTTATTCAATCAAAGTGTTGTTGACTGGATTCTTGTTTCCTCTCTGTGTGATGTAGAACTCAAGGGTTTGTAGCCCTTTTCTCCGGTGACACAGGCGAAATTGGTTCAGAGGTCCGGGAGCAAACAGACACAAAAGTTGCAGAGTGGAGGGAAGAAGGGAAAGCCGAGGTTATTCCCGGCGTTCTCTTCATCGACGAATGCTCGACATGGAATGCTTCTCATTCTGATAGGATGTTGACATAGAGGAAAAAGAAATAAGAGAAAGCAAAGACTCTCAAGCACTTAGAAGGTTTACTGTTACTATCGATAGAGAAGTATAAATAGAGTTCATGTGTCTTCTTCTTGGTTTAGGCAATTACAGAGAGTGAATTGTATCAAGAGAGAGAGAGTGAACATTGTAAAGTAGGGCGTTTATGCTCGTGAGAGGATCGTCGGTTACATTGTTCTGGAATTGATAGGAAGGTTCTTATCACATTCCTCAACCGAGCCCTCGACAACGACATGTCTCCGATCCTCGTCGTGGCCACAAACAGCGGGATGGCAACAATCCGAGGAACAAACCAGAAATCAGCACACGGGATCCCCATCGATCTACTAGACCGTCTTCTCATCATCACGACGCAACCTTACACAGAGGATGAGATTAGAAAGATCTTGGAGATCCGGTGCCAAGAAGAAGACGTCGACATGAACGAGGAGGCGAAATGTATATTGGATCAAGATATGGCGGCTCAATGGGCAGAGTTTGATGATGTAATCCCGGGTTTAGTGCTCCACTTATAGAGGCTTATCTTCAAGGATCTGGTGAGTGAGATCGTGCATGGTGAGATTGGTCTGCTGAAAGCAAATTCAGGGAGATGGAAGAATGTTTTTCGCGGATAAGTAGATACTGATCCGTATGCTCTTTCTCTGATTCTCATTTCTCTGTATTCTAAAGCCGTGTATATAATAATACAAGTCAGCAGTCATGAAACATTCTCCGTATTTATTAGATTTATGTATTGAAACCAGTTTCCAAGAGAAGTTTGAGAGATAACTGCCCAAGTAAAAAAAAGATGAGCAACAGTAAAAGAATCCAGAGACTTTCAATCCTTCATCTCCATTCTTCAATCCTTCTCTTCTTTGCATGTGCATCTACTCTATACACCAGACCAAATCGGTTTGCATCTATCTGTAGAGTGGAGTTCTCTTTGATGTCATCTCGGACCATATTTTTTAGAGTTCTGTCACCATTCGTCTCGAGCCATTTCTTAATAGGGCGAGCACCATATACCTAAACATAATCATATAACATAAGTAACTAAGAGCATATGCATCGGCAAAATTCTTAAAGAGAGTCTCTAAAAAATATTTTAATAATATAACTGTTTTATATAATTAATATTTAAATATAAAAAGAATTGAACCATTTATGAGAGGACAGCTGTTTATGACTCTCTTAGTTTTTCATTTTTGAGTCTCTTAAATAAGAATGGAAGAGACATTCTATGTCTCTCTCATCACTTTTTAACTTTTTTTAATTGTTAGAATCTGTGTAAAAAACTAGCGTTGTAGGTGCTCTAAGTGACACACGACCGACCCTGAAATTTTGGGAGTCTCAAAACAAGATTACGTAATTAATTATATATATATATATATATGATCAATATTACTTTTTACTTCTTCTACTTTAAAATAAGTGTCATTTTAAAGTTATTTTTTTTTACAAAAATGTCACTTTACATTTTCAATGCATAATTTCGAATAAATATTTAGTTTTAACCTTTAAATTTTATTGTTTTAATTAGAAAGAGAATATTATTTTGTATGTGAACAAAGAGTAAAACATAACTTTTTATGATTTTTTTAATTTATATGAAAAATGGCAAAATGACACTTATTTTAAAACGAAGAGAGTGTTAAAATTAATAAAGAATCTTATGATTTGGAACCTCGTGACTTCAGACTTTGCGAGACTATTTGCAGTAGGCGTTTCATAATTGTGATTCAATTTTAATTTTCATTGGTTAGATTGGGAGAAGATATCGCAGGATTCGAAGATGAGCTTTAAACAGAGTTGTGAATATCAGAATGTCTGTTTCAAAGCACGATTGAAAGTTTTCCAGATAAAATCGAGGGCTAAAAGAACGATCATGAGAAACGTGATGTATAGCTCCTGAATCGATTACCCAAGTATGCTTGGATAGCACGTTCTTGGAGACAATCAAAATGCCAACAAAGCAATAAGTGGAAGAAGTGAATTCAATACCAGACGGAGCAGAGGCATTTGGATGAACATTAGAGGAACTTGCTTCATTCGAACCAGTCAAATTCTGATGCCGAAGTTACGAACTGAAGTAAGCAATAAAACTCTGGATTTGATATTTACTGAGGTTGCCAACAAGTTGTTCCACCCCAGAGAAACTTATTATCCGGCAAAGGAGATAGAGCAACTTGAGCTGCAACAGGTTGATTGCTTGCCTTTAAGAATAAAACCGGGAGGGTATCCGTGTTTCTTGTAGCAACGGTCAGCAATGGATTTTCCAGCAATGACACCTCCGGTAAGTGTCTTTAGTGGAAGGATTCGAGTTTTGAGCTTGGCATGTTTGTTTTTCCATCCAGATGGTTCATTTGAATGAAGATGAGAATTTTGTTTGTTTTGTAATAAAATAAATTAAAACATCCAAATTGGACTATCTGAATGGAGATGGTTCAGTTCATATTAACAAATAACAAACATACCCTTAAACATAAAAAAAAACTACAAAAATCATTAAATCACATTTTTTACTAAAATCAACAAAATTATAAAATCATGTTTTCTAACAAAATCACAATTATGATTTTTTAGCAAAACCTGAAAACTCATATTTTCCCCCTAAATCGGTAAATCACATTTTCCTGTCAAAACTAAGAAATCGCATTTCTCCGTCAAAACTAAGAAATTTCATTATCCTGCCATAATAAAAGATTTACGTATTATCACAAAAACTGAGAAATCGTATTTTCCAGCCAAAATAAAAAAATTATATTTTTCCTGCAAAAACTGGAAGATCGCATTTTCCACGCAAAATCTAAAAATCCATTTTTTTTCAAAACTGAGAAATTTCATTTTCCTGTCAAAACTGAAAATTTTCATTTTCCCGCCAAAAAACGAGAAATTTATTTTCCTCGCCAAAACCAAAAATTACATGTTCCCGCCAAAACAAATAAATCTCGTTCTCCCATCATAATTGAGAAATCGCATTTTCCCATCAACCGAGAAAAATTATTTATTTAACAAAACTGAAAAATCATATTTTTCAGTCAAAAACCGAGAAATCTTATTTTCCCGCCAATAACGAGATATTTTGTTTTTCATCAATGATATACTTACATATTTTGCATATTTAGCATGCATCTATAGTAGTTTTTCATGCATTCATCTTACATTTTAGGCTAGTTTGCACCATTTGTCTCGATTTAGGTCCTAAGTGCACTTTGCATTAGTATTTGCATATTTCTTGCATTATTGCATCACATTCAGGTTGTTTTGGACACACTGGAGCTGTGGAGGTTTCGTGGACGTGCTAAGGATCAAAGAGGAGCTTGAGGACACTTGGGAGAACTCGGCAATGCAGCAAGGGGACTGAGATCGAGAGAGAGATCGAGCTGGGCAGGTCGATCTAGATGAGATCGACCAGAAGATCGACTAAGCCCGGATCGTTTCAAGGAAGAGATCGAGGTCAAGATCGACCAAGGAGATCGATCATGAGTACGAATGTGGACTAAGCCATACAGAACGAGTACCAGATCGAGACCACGACCCGATCATCCGAGGATCAACCAGAAGATCGAGAGAAGCACTCGATCCACCCAACCGAATCGACCCAAAGATCGAGCAGAGGAGGACGATCCACGAGGAAGATCGAGCATCAGATCGAGTACTCAGCTCGATCTCTACACCTTATCCGGCCAGCTCATTTTTTGGACTTTTGTGAAGGGGGGACTATTTCTTGTCTACCCTATTTTGGGCAAAGGATCGTGAACCATTCATTATGTTTTTTTCTTCTTTTAGCTTTTGCTTATTGTCGAAGGCGATTTTAGCCATTGTTGAACCTTTTCAAGCTTTTTCATGTTTTGAATCTTAATCTTGCTTAATCTAAGTATTTTTCTTAATCGTTCTTCTTGCTTAGTAGTTTATTGATGTTTAGCTTTTCATCTATTACATTTTCTTCGGTTTTAACAATGTGTAGTGAGTAGTTTGTCTTTGGGTTTAAGGTTGGGGCGATTAAGAGGGTTTAAGGGTTTAAGCTTGGGACTTTTTCTTGTTCTTAACTCATTCTCTTCTTGGATTTGAGGGCTTAATGCCTAAAGAGTCTTTGGAAAGATCTTTATGATCTTAGAGATCTCCTTACCTTAGCAGGATTCAGGAGTCTCTGAAAATCAAATCCAAGAGACTAGCTCATCCAATCCCACACACCATGGATGCTTAGGGAGCTATTTAAGCCACTTTTTGAGATCTGTGATTTATGCTCTTCGACCTCTTTTTCCACTATACACCATGGGTTAGGAGGAGAGGCCGAAGAAGGGATCTATGCCATACACCATGGATAGATCTATTTCAGTTTTTCAAAGCTTAGAGATAGCACAAAAAGTGTAGATTTATGTTTTCAAACCCCAAGCTTGAATCTTTAGCCTTCTTAATATGACCCTCAACTTTAGATCCTCCTTTTAGCATTTCAAAACCTCAAGTTTTCATTTCCAAGTCTTAAAGTTCGCATCTTTACTTTAGTTTCATTGCATATATTTATATATTTGGGGGACGACAGAGCCGTGGTTCTTGAAGGAGAGAGAGAAAGATTAGAGATAATCCCTTGTTTAATCATTGCGGATACTTTCCTTGACGCCATTGAAAGGAAAAAGCTTGAGTTCTCCAGGAAAGCAGAAACTCTGATTTCCCAGAAAAGTGGAGAAAATCAATGAATTGGAAAAAAGAATTGAGAAGATTTTCCGTTAGAATCGATGAAAATTCATGGAAAAACTGAAATTTTCCCACAGAGGAGGAGAAAGTGGGACGGATTTTCTAAGCAAACCAAAGTTGAAGTGAGTAAGCGCAGAGAAGAAGCAATAGTTTCTGGGGGAGAATGGAGACAAATAAAACAAAACGAAAGAAACTGTAAAAAACAAAGTCCCGGAGTGTTTGGCTGAACGGGGGAATGGCTGAAAAATACAATTCAGCAAGAATTTTGCCAATCAGAAAAATTTGTAAAAAAAGTTAAAATTCGAATTCTGCATAATGGTGAAAATACTTACAAAAAATACAAAAAAAATTTGATTAAGTAGAAAAGTGGGTTTCACATAGCTTATTTGCACTATCAATATTATATATTATTTAAATAAATATATTTCTACTACATATATTTATATAATGATCAGATTATATCTGTAGATTAAATTTTGCAATATATTTATATATTTTATAGTAAATAAAAATAAAAAATAAAAATAAAAATAAATAATTATAATAAAAGTTTTAACTTTTTAGTTATATTAAAATTATGTTTTTATAATAATTAATATTTTAATTTTTACTATATCAAATTATTTATAAAATATATTATTATGAAAATTTAGTTTTATATATTTTTTGTTATTCCACTATTCTGCCATTCCGCATAATTTATTCAATCATAATTATTTCGCTATTCTGCATTCTGCCATTCTGCAGCTTAATTTTTTCCATCATTAAATGATTTTATTGTGTTACCAATTGAAAAGATAAAAAGGTAAAGAAGAATCCAAGAAAATGAAGGAAATTTTGGATCGAGTGACAAAATCGAACAAAATGAACGCAATTTTGGAGAAGGTCTCACAGTGGATTTGAGTAATGGATGTCAAAATTGGTTTAAACCAGCCGGTTCGATCCAACCGCGATGGAGCCGGTTGTGTAACTAAAAGTAATCCGGACCAAAATCCAATTAATCCTCTTCCCACTTTGCAGTTGTCGTAGACAGTTAACATTTATATTTTCTTAAACAATTATTTTATCCAATTAAGACTTGACGTATTTCAATTAAACAATAACTTGGAATATCATTTCTTGTTACTATTTTTGAAATATTTGATTATAAATTGGGACTTTTGTTGTAACTTTGTAAAGATTTTTGTGAAGACTTGCACGTTTTATAAGCTTTCGCTAATTACTTGTTATATAATATATAATGCCAATATTTACAAAAAAAAAGAAAACAACAACAATAATAGGCGTTAAAAGTGCATTTGAGAAAAAAAAAATATATAATCGGAAAAAATTTATTTATGCTTAGAGACACTTTTTAAATTATAAATTATAAAAATGTATTTTTTGTAACTAATGAACTTTTTCATTTTCTTTCTTATTTATTTTTCTTGAATGTTCAAAAATCTATTTCTCGTCGGACACAACTTGATGGACTTAGTCTGATGAACACAGTTTGATATATACAAATTGTTATTAAGTAATAGTTACAATACGATTTGATGGACATTAAGTGATAATGACAATAGATGGATACTAACGCGTAGACGCGATCTGATGGACACAGCTTGATGGATACAAATTGTTACTAAGTGTTTGACGGACACTAAGTGATAATGACAATGGATGGACACCAACGAGTAGACACGAATCGATTTTCATCTCTCTCTCTCTCTCTCTCTCTCTCTCTCTCTCTCTCTCTCTCTCTCTCTCTCTCTCTCTCTCTCTCTCTCTCTCTCTCTCAGCCGTGTATTCGAGGAATTTATCATCGAGACCAATGGTAACATCTCGTCTCTTGGATCATACTCGGCTTCCTCATCTCCTGATCTAGAAGTCTCTCTGAAACTCGAGAGTTTCACACCGAACCTTGTCTACAAGCATCTCGAGGCTCACATAAATCTTTCATCAATTTAATAATCATAATTTTAATATAGTTTAATTATACTAATTAATTTTAAAATATTGAATAAAATTTAAATCAATTATAGAAAGACAACACATAAAAGTAGTCTCTCACAAATCTCTCATTCTCTCTCCTCCCTTTTTTTAACTTTATTAATTTTTTATTTTGAGAGACTGATTGAGAGACCAGCACTACAAATGATGCTTTTAGAACCGGTTTTTACTCATAAAGAACCGCTGTCATTTAATTAATGAGTCAAAGTAGTATTTTAAATAAATAAAATTAAAATATTAATATTTTATCATTTAAAAATTCAGTTATAATTTGTTAGCGTTGGAGGTGGTCTAAGATCATCTGCATTGGTGGTCTCTCACCAAATCTCTCAACATAAAATATTGGTAAATTAGAAAAAAGAGAAGAGAGAGAATGGATAGAGTTTGAGAGACTATAAAGGCCAGGTGCAATGGGGGTATCCAAAGTAAGTTTCTTAACATAAACAAATATTAAAAATGTGAAAAAAGAAGGGAGAGAACTAGATACAGCTCTTATTTAAGAAATTAAGAAACCATTTTTAGCAACAGTAAGATACTTTAAAGGTGTCTGTCATTATATTATTGGTCCAATTATTTTTGTATTTAAAAATTAATATTGTAATAAAATTATAATATTATAATATATGTAAGATCTTTTTGTAAGAGATTTTGGCGTTGAACATGGTCTAAGAGACCTATGAGAAACTTATATCATATTCTCATGTGTTGTCAGACCCGACCCAGAGCATAAGCGGGTTAAGCAAGGGTTTAGGGCCATCAAATTTTTAGATAATTTATGGACCATATATTCAAAGAAAATTATATTTATTGGGTCACAATATTAACAAACTTATGTTTTTAAATATAAAAAATGTAAAAAAAAAAATTTTGCTCTGGACCACAAAAATAGTTGGACCGGCCCTGTGTGTTGTCTTCATATGATTGGTTTAAATTTTATTTATAATTTAAAACTAAAAATAATAATTAATTTATATTAAAATTATTAATATTAAATTCATGAGAGTCTCTTACTAATGCAGATGCTTTAAGAGCATCATCAATGGAAAGACCTATACATAAGACTCTTCCAAAATTTTTATTATTTAAAAAAAAATTGACTTTTGAAAGAAAAAAAAATAATAAATAAAGTTAATCAATCATATTGTGACACATGTTGAAAAATTGGGAAGAGTCAACTCTTCCAAAGTCGCCTCTCTTTTAAAAATTGTCCATATCATTTATTTTTTAAATTTTTCTTTTTTTTTAATTTAAGAGCTTGCCACTAGCTCTCCAATTTACATGCTCTAAGATGTTGAAAGAGATTCAAACTAGACCGTCCTCAGTATGGTTAATAACAACGCTCAGCCAACCAACCTTAAAAACCAACACTAAGTCGGAACAACACGCACTAAAGCAACAAGAAATACTTACTCACTCTACCAAGATCTCTCTTTGATGTCAGCTAGCACAGAAACAAACAACCACACGAACCCAAAGTGTTACTAACTCCTCCAAATGCCAAGATTCCCAAGAAACATAACCTAACCTGAGACTAACCTAAAACAAGGCAAGACAACAGTGAGAACTCTAGAACTTAGCAACACTAGCCAAAGAACTGAAATGAAGAATACTCACCAGAGGAAAAGACGGAGCTCTTCGCTGCCACCCCACGGAGAGCCTCAACAAGCCAGAGCAACCCTTACTTAAAAGCAAAAGCTTGAAAAGCCCACTCTGAAAAACAGTCCACCCATACAAAGAAAACCCTCCACGCAGCAAAATGACCCCAAGCAAACAGAGGAAACACACGAAATTGAACCGCCCGAGAATGAGAAAGGGAGACTGGATAGACGCTACTATGTCTCAACCCACCTAACAACCAACCAGAACAAGAGACACGACCAACCCAAGCAGCCTAGCAGCCACCACGAAGAGGTGAAGCTTAAATATCCACCAATGTCATTACCGTCCCCAAGCAGGACAGATCCGAGAAGAAAAACTAGACATGACACCAACGACGAACCACCAAGCAAGAGCCACTTGGAGGAAAGGGGAAGAAGGGAAAATCTCTCATAAAGCCGTACGTCAGGGAGGCTAACTGCTGAAGCTTTTCTGCAAGACATAAAAAATTCCCAGAGAAAATTTTGGGGGCGCGTGATTCCCACATTGTTGAAATCAGTTTTGCTTTACTATCTCATGCTTTTATGTTTGATATGCGCTTTCTTCATGGCTTTCCAACATATCTTTTTAATTAGCAAATGTCCAAACTATGGAAAGCAAATTCATTGCATTATTGTATTATATAAAAGAAAGAACAAAGACAAAAAAATTTTGACCATGCAGAAAAAAATATATTCTTCAAAAATCACACAAATGGGCACATATTACAAGCGACATTTCAGAAAACAAATCAAATGGATAGTGATAAAAGAAGCAAAAAAAAAGGAAAAACTGCGTCGCGTTTTCAAAAGGTTTTTCAGAGCGTTTTAATGATAACAAGAAAACGTTATGATTCAAATTTCAGAAAACATTTGTTTGCAGATCTTCAAGTGCAGGATCCACGACTTCGACTTTCTCTCCGTTTTCAGCTTCGCCAGGAAATGTCGGAGTTTCCAGCTCCGGAGGAGTCTGATCGAAACAAACTCTGAGAATTATTCTTTTATCTTCTTTCGCAAGTAAAACAGAAACAGATTTCTTCTTTCGCAAATAAATTTGAACAGGGTAACTGAAGTTTATACCGTGCATCGAATTAAAGCCCAGTTTATGCCTTTAAAGAAAGAATGGTTCTTGACTTCGTTTGCTCCTTCAAGACATCCTAATCTCTTCTTCGGGTCTCGTTGTAACAGCCTAAAAATCAGCTGTTTCACCTGAAGACTTGCCTGCACACCCATAACAAAACAGTTAAACATGTTTCTGATTTAACATGAGATTAATTCAGACATAGTGATTGATCCATTACAGGAATGCTAGCTGGGAACTTCAGATCTTTCTGAAGAACATTGGCGAAAGTCTTCTGTCTGGTTTTGCCTCTAAAAGGAGTGTACCCGTACAACATTTCGTATATAAGGATACCAAGAGCCCACCAGTCCACTGCACTCGTATGGCCTGCTCCGGTTATAATTTCCTATACATGATAATTATCACTTAAGAGACAGAAAAATAGCTTATACCGGAGTAATTACACGTATATATCATACACTAACCGGAGCAATATACTCTTCAGTGCCAACAAATGAGTTTGAAGCACGCATTGGTTCAGCCATGAAGATTGGAGTTTGTTGGCTCTTTTGCTGCTTTTTCTTCTTCTTTACATCTATACTCGGAATCAACAGCTGCGAGATACATCGATAACTCTTAATTAATACATTATCAAACTTTTAAGCATCAATGATAAGGAAAAAAAGAAGGTTGAGAGAAAAACCTGAGGTCTGCAAGATGTCAAGCAAGACAGATCGAAATCTGATAAGGAGATATCGCCGTTTCCTTGGATTAATACATTTTCTGGTTTTAAGTCCCGGTAAATTATTCCTGTTACAAAAAAAATTACATTGGTGAAATTATAATGATGTTAAAGATCACTTGCATCACATGTTTTATTTGTATCTGAAAGATGTTGAATGGCTTGCCCTGGCAGTGAAGATACTCGAGTGCAACGACCACTTGAGCAGCATAGAATCTACAAAATTGTTCAGGTTTATTGCTATTTCATGATTTATGTGTAAAAACCTTGAGATTTTGTCCATATAAATAGAAAGACTTATACCTTACGGCATCTTCCTTGAGAACCTTCCTAGGTTGTCGATCTAGGAGCATGAATAGTTCTCCTCCTGGATAGTAATCCGTTATAAGACATATATGTGTTTTTGTCTGCAAAGTGAAACATGAAACATCAGTGATATGAGGCTTAGGGACACGCCTATACACACGTGAAAACAGATTTTCTAGATTCTATACCTGAAATGAAGCATATAGTGCAGGAAGAAAAGGATGGTCAAGCAAATCGAGGATCTCTCTCTCAGCTCTTGCTCTATGCACCTGCCAAAAATTGTTAATCAATTGCTACTTTTATAAAAGAAGCATGCAAAGAAAAAATATGGAGATTTATTGTTGCCCAAGGTACTATTAGTTACTTTGTTACGGTTAAGCATGACGGTCTTGTCCATTGCTTTCATCGCAAACAACTGATCTGTTCCATTGAGTTCCACTAGATGAACACTGTTGAAACAAATATTAATGGACGTTTGTAAATTTGATCTCGAAAATGGTTTCTGTAAGCTGTTTGAATAATTCAGAGAGAGTTTCTGACCTTCCTGTGTCACCGGAACCCAAAGGTTTCACCGGTCGGAAATGCTTCAAACTGATTTGTTCACCACTCTCTAATACCTTTTGGATAGCTTTCCATGATGGTGAATCTTTTCTGTGAGGCTTCGAATGAACAATCTTTGAGTGATTTGCCCATAAATCTTCTGGCGTCTTCAACAAGACACAACAAAACAATCAATCAGATATATCCTCATAAACCCTAATCTAAAATTACCTGATCTTCAGTCAATTATACTTACCATGTTGGCATCAGGAAGTTCTCGTACAGCCTCATCGATATTTACAGCTGTTTTCTTCACCTGAAGAGCTCAGATTCCAGGAAAAACAAATGTTAACCTCTTAAGTTTTGATCAAATCATTACAGTTGAAATCGAGATTTAAATGGATTAGGGCTTCGACCAGCTCTTCGCCTTCTTTCACTGCAACTTCTTCAATGACATTTCGAACTGGCTCCACGTGCTTGCTCCCGTCTAGTTGGACTCCGATAAAGTATTGTACTTCTCCCTGTCAGTAACATATCAACGAATACATATCTTTTAGTTTAAAATTCATAGACTGAGATGCACAGTGCAACGTTCAAATTAACTTGAAGGTGACGTATTACGCAAGGTAAGTATGTAAATTATAGTACCTTCTGATCACGCATAGGTTGCAAGTGGAAAATGTTCCAGAACTTCTTCCCTGAAACAGAGAAAGAAATGAATAACTTAAAGACTGTACATTGACCAATGGATTGATCTAAGGATATCGAAAAAGTAAGTACCACTCTTGGTATAGTTGATGAGCTGAACCGTTACTTCGGTTTGGTTATCAATAGCCGCTCGAATCTTCTTTACCGTTGTTGGATCAGTCTCTGGACCTTGAAGAAACCTATAAACATTTGTCCAGAACCATTAAAGAAACGTTACTAAAGAAAAATGAAGTTATTCTCAATGTAATACCTGCAATTTCTGCCAAGAATTTCTTCACGGCTATATTCCGTGAGCTCCAAGAAACTATCAGACGCAAAAATCTGGAAACAAAACATAAATGAAACGTTTTCAGACCAAACACAAACAGTTATTTTCGTTTTTTTCATGCATTTTTTGTTTCTTACAATGGGATTGTCGGGGAGCCGAGGATCAGTGATGACGAAATTCTTCTCGATACGTTCGAGTGTGGTTGCGAGATCCATACCCTTTCTCATCTCTTTTTGTCTCACTTTATCATCAACACTCTCTGGTCTCTCGTCTCTGTCACTAAAGTCATCATCTTCTTCTCCATACTCTACAAATCCATCGTCAATAGATTCATCCAGAGATTGGTTCTTCTTCTTAATCCTAACACCAGAAGATCGCAACTGTCATACCCTCATAGCAAGGACTAGATTGATCTTTATAAAAGTTTATGGGTCAAAGAGAAATCTGGTGAGAATTAGAGCTGATCGGAAATTTTGATTCCCTTTTTTAATTACCCCATGAAAGAAAGACGAGAAGATTTTGTTTGTTTCTTCTCAGGAATTTCGTTGATTCGCTGCATAGAGTTTCTTCTTCCGCCGCCAGAATTTCTCCGGCCTGACGGAACGACGTTCTCAGACATTCTCCGAGCAGGTTTAGCCGGAAGTTCATCGCTCTCTGATTTTCTCTTGAAGGGATGGTGATTGGTTGATTCGCTTAAGGCTCGTGGTCTCTTCACCGCCTCCACCAGCTCCGTCACTGAGTTCGTCGCCATATCTTTTTGGCGGGCTGTTTCAAAAACAAATACTTTAATAAATACATATATTTTCATAAACAAATAATTAATTTAAGAAAACATAAAGAGTTTGATAATTGATAGTTCGATACCATCGTATCGAATCAGAGATTCAGGAAGCCCGTTGGGCCTCACAGCCTTTTCTTTGGCCCCTTCAGTGTGCTTGCTCACTTCCACTTGCATTCTGGTCCAAATAAAAACAAACAAGACATATTTGTTTCTTCATCTTATTATGAATTAATTCATTTTAAACCATAGAAAAATATATAAAAGTTGAAACTGAAAATTATGGCCGTTGGATAGAAGACGATCAGATCGGGCAATGACAGGTGTTTGAATTATTGCGAAGAAAGCAACACAGTCGCAGGTCCACAATCAAGTCCCATCAAAAGGGTGTAATTTTGTATATGAATAAATAAAAGGCTCAAATGGGTAAAAAGAATAAATGTGTCTTAAGGGACTAACCCAATAAATTTGAGGACTTTGCCACTCTCGTCTTTAATGGGCGCAATCGTGAGGAGATTCCAAAATGAGGTCCCATCTTTTTTGTAATTCAATAAACGGCCACAATAATTATTCCCAGCTGCTAATGACTCTCTTATCTTCGATAACTCATTCGCATCTGTCCCCGATCCCTGTAAAAACCGGCTACAATAAAACAAAACAAATACCCAAATTATTATCTTCATAAATATTTAACTTTCAAATCTGCAAAGTAAGATGTTTAATTATCAGAAAATATCCTAAAATATCGTAAAAACAAATTTTAATTTTAACTTTGGAAAAAGCACAAAATTTTAAATTTTAAGAGTTATCAAAATCATTTAGCATATCTCAACGTTTTACTTATCTTTTCTAAACTTTAAATTATGGTATTTGATAGAAGTAAATATAATTTTTGTAGTAAGTTAAACAAAACAAACGTTAAAAAAAAAGTGATTTAATTTTTTATTTAAATGATTTTACCAGTTTCTGCCGACGACTTCTTTGGAAGTGTAACCGGTCATGTTGAAGAATCCGGCACTAGCATACATAATCGGGTAATCGGGTTTGGTAGCATCCGAAACCACAAACGTTTGTTGAAACGTGGACAAGGCGTCTTTCAGATCTTCCGAGACTCTCGGAATCCCACCTCTCCCTCCGGCAACATCTCCGTCCGACATCTCACCGGAGCTCCGGCAAGAATTGCTCGAGTTTCGCTGCGAAGCTCTTTTCCCGTTCGGATCATTCTCCGCACCGCCTGAGTTCCTCACGCTCACTCCCTGTGGCTTTCCCGTCTTCGTATCGGTCTTCAAAACCAGTCCCCACTCCGCCGCCCTCTGCTCCGCCGCCACCGACGCAACCTGTGGTTTCTCGGCGGTGATAGTCTTCTTGGAGATTTTCACCGGTGCTGGATCCTTCAAAGCCATCCATGAGGTTGCAACGGAGATCTCTTCAGACCGAACCGGGATGGAGGGAGCTGGTTCGGGTTGGGGTTGGGATTGGAGTTGTGGACTGCCACGTGGTTCGCTCAAGTTTTGCCACGTTGGTGGTTCAGGGCGGAAAACAGGGTTATCGGGTCGGGTCGGGAAAGTTGATGGGTTGAATACTTCGAGAGAGCCACGAGTGTCTCTTGGGAGAGTCCGAGAAGATGGTTTGGTGGATGGTTTCTCTGTTGGCTCCATCTTTTAGCTCTCTACACATGAAACAAAAAGTGTGCCTAAAATAAAGTTATATGTATATAAATAGTTAATTAGATTCGTAGACACAGACACCACACGCATGTATATATGAATCGGCAAATAAAATGTTGATGTATATCAGTATATCTACATAAAATATTTTAATTTTTTTTAGTGTAACTCTATATATATATATATATATGTGTGTGTGTGTGTTTACGTGTAATAGTATTTTATTGATTTTTAAAAATGGACACGTTACTATAAGTTCTTTTTTGTAGTAGATGGTTGGCTTGATTTCTGAAAATGAAAACCCTGTACATATATGATATGCGCATATATCATAAATGTGTCGAAAAGAAAGGTGGTTGCATATATGTTTAATCATAAAGAGAAATGTAATGGCGACGTTGATTTAAAGTTTCCAAAATTAGTACGATATTGGAAACTGATCATATCATCATAGCCTCATACGTATTTTCTTCACTGTCTATATTCGATAGCTTTTTGTTTGTTATTTGGTACGTAACTATTTCGGATTAAGAACCATAGATTTTGAAGATTAAGTCCTTTAAATCAAGTCTCGTATTCAAGCTAGTAGTGATAAAAAAAAATTGAACTTTTGTTTTTCATCTAAAAATTAAATATAAATTTAGTATAACTAAATTGCAGTAATTAAATATTTAAGAGATATCTCAGAGACTATTCTACATTTTTTTTTTTATAATAAAAGCTATAGTACGTAATTTTACCTGATGTTGACTGAAAATAATTCATCAATCACTCATTTTGTTTGAATCTTTGAAACTGTTATCATGGATAACAAGAATCTCGTCTCTTTGGTGTCTTCTTTTAGGAAAGAATAGACTAGACATATCCAACATGATAATGAATGTATATATCTATATATGTATGTATATGCATGCATGCAGGTTATATGTTGCATATACAGATAATTTTGGGGATTCAAAGAGTTATGGTTTATGGGCCATAGAAAAATGAGATATGAACTGGAAATGTGGCAATGTTGAGAGTGACAATTCCTTTTGAAGCGGGGGGTAAAATTGGAGAAAACGACACAAAGTTGTAAAGTTCCAATACTTTTTTTAGTTTTCAGTACCACACAACACATGCATCTTTTAGGGGTTTTTAGTCATTTCGTTATGAAAAATGGACAGTGTTATTACAAAAACAGTAGCTGAGCCGATTTATCGGCTTGTCTGGTGACTAGAGTTCCATAACCATTCGATCGATCATATCTTATTTGGAAATTTTCAACTAAAATACTGTCTTTTTTAATATCTTTGTCATTTTCTTTAGTTTTTAAGACTTTTTATTATTTTTCCCTCTCTCTAGAATCTAGATATTTTACTTCTTTCATTTTCATGTACTTGTAGCAGCACAGTATTTGTATGGTAATCATTAAACTGGTCTAAGTTAAAGATGAAAAGAATAATGGTATAAATTTGGTAGCTGTAACATCTATTTACATGTTTACGATTCGAGTGCCAAAAATCAAAATCAGTAGAATTTTTTAAAATGTAACGCACCTACCATGTGATTTGTGATTCTTTTCAGTAAATACTGACATTCGGATAAATCATTTTATGCTGTGTTTGTATGCAATATTACATACACTAGTCTATGATTAAACTAGCTAGAAGATATAATTATATATATATATATATGCTTAATTATTCATTTGTATTTCTACAAAGGTCAAATACATGACAAGAACCCTTAAAGGTGAACTGACAAATAAATGATTTAACTCTGCGTTTCTTTATGAGAGATATATCTAGGATATGAAAAGACTTTTTATGCTAACTACGACTGTATATTTTTCCCTCTCTCTAGAATGTAGATATTTTACTTCTTTCAATTTCATGTACTTGTAGCATCACAGTATTTGTATGATAAAACTGGTCTTAGTTAAAGATGGAAAGAATAATGATATTTAATTTGGTGGCTGTAACATCTATTTACTTGTTTATGAATGGAGTGCCAAAAATCATAATTCAGTAGAGAATTTAAATTGTATGCACCTACCATGCGATTTGTGATTTTTTTCAGTAAATACTGACATTCAAATAAATCATTTTATGCCGTGTATTTCTACAAAGGCCAAAAACATGACAATATCCCTTAAAGGTGAACAGACAAATAAATGTTTTAACTCTTCGTTTCTTTATGAGAGAACTATCTAGGAAATGGAGAGAACAGCAGGAAATCGAAACAAAAAATAAAAATAAAAATAAAAATAAATACCTGACAAGTTAACTTGTGTAGGAAGAAACAGATACCTTCAAATTTTTCTTCAACTGTCTCGTCGGGAAACAAATCAGATCAATTGTGGAATGAGTTTGGAATGAGAATAACCAACTTTTCTGAGGCTTTTTAAAACAAGGGAAAATTTTGATAGAAAGAGATCCAAGAAAGATAAAAAAAGTATTTAGGGTTCATGATTGAATTAGTCTTTTTCTAGGCTCCATCACTGGATCATTTGATCTTCCCATGCCTCTTACTGGATTATGTTCCTCATTCCACATGGCTTTATTTTATTTTTACTTTTAAAGATTATATATAAATACCACTACAATCTAAAACTTATTTACCCATCTAATTTCGTATAATACCGTCTTGCTAATTAGATCATAAATACTAGTATGCTCAATAAATTAGTTTACGCATAAATACCTGGTGCTTAGATATATGACACCAAACAAAACATGTTGCTCATAGATCGGCACGAACGGTTTAACGAAAACATTTTATCGACATCAGAAAATGTTGATTTGATTGTGATTAATTAATTAAGTTTTGGTATAAACTATGAGACAAAATCTGACTGTAAAAAAGAATGCACTGAAAAACTTGCTTGTTGTAGAAAGTATAGCTGAAATAAATAAATAAATATCCCAAAGACACACAAGTGTGTGCGGGTGATGGTTTTGTTCTTTTAAAAGTATCTGATCAGTGTCAGTGACTATAGGTGTGAATGAGTTGTCATTTGAAAACGCCCAAAAACCTGGCAAATGCAGAAATCGGATATATATTCACAAAGGAATATTTGAACGAATATAACCTTTCTTTTTACTTGAAATGGTAAAATCATTGTATACTTATACAGTTAGTTCATCTTGCAATTTTTGCCAACAAGAGTCTCAACGGTATAACTGGTTTAACGGTGCAACAAATACAGAGTACTGATCATGCCGATCGATCACGATCAAACTTGGTTATAAATATCAGACCGGTTTTACTATTAGATTCAAACGTTTTTTGTCGGGAACCTTGAGGACAAACTTATTGAAGGATATAAAAACACAGAGAAGAATGGTTACAATTCATACACAAAGTAGGGACCATAACCCATGTGAAGATTGATCAAAGAGAAAAAAGATCTTAACGGGTTATTATCTTATCCATCATGTGCCAATTGTGGGTTTGACATGTAGGGTGGGGGCAGAAATTGTCACATCAGTCTTCACATTTGGCCGCTTAATTCCTCCCATTTTCTAATTTGACCCCACTTTTCTTCGATCAATCAAGATCTCGAAGAAACAAGGTGGGTTAATGATGTGGTGCAAACAAGAATGTCTCTACATTATCATAATCTACTTTTCTTTTTAATATCACTTATATATATATTAACAATCTCCTGTGTTGAAATAAATCAGTTTTACATCTTTTTAGAACTAGATGCAGGGCGGGGTTCGATTAAATTTTTTTAAAATAATAATATTAGTTTATTTGTAGATGAAAAAATCAGATTTTATAGTTATTTGAAATCAAAATTAAAATATTTGAAAAATAAAATTTTCATGAAATATATTATTTTTTGGCCGCATAAATCAAATTTCATAAGATTTAGAGTTTTATCTGTGACTGTATAAATCAATTAGGTTAATCAAAAATATTAGTAGGTTAAACGATCAAATTAAAATAAGTCTAAGAAAATAGTTAGAATTGTTTTTTTTGTGATTGCTAATTAATTTTTTCGTAAACTGAATATTATTATGATATAAACTCAAATTTAGAAATTAAATTATATTAATTTATTAATTTCATTAAGAATAAATAAAATCTTTTCATATAAAGGGTAAATAGTAATCAACCATCATAACTCTTAACCACAACTCAAGTTGTTTACCAATTAATAATATAATTTATTTAGTTTTTGTTGATAAATTTTGTAATCATGCACACACTACGCCGATAACACCTAATTAATGTCATGTAATCTTGATTTATAGATATACACACAACAACAACACAACCTAAACTTAATACAACAAAAAGAAAATACAAAAGTAAGGGACAAGAATTCGCAGACTTGCGCTTCGTGTTTCGATAGAACCTAGTAACTTACAGAAACTGTTCATAGCTGCAATTAGTTTTTTTTTTTAAAAAAAGAAAAAGGCATATATAGTAGATAATTTTTTTGGCAAAGAAGAACGTTAAAGCGACCTTACAAGATGAGACTGTTACCGGTCATCTTTATGACTTGTCCCTCTTCTTGCTACCCCATTAATATGCAATTATGTTGTAATCGTCTAAACATATTTATGTATCGATGATTCATGACACTTTCATTACCAAACTCTGGACTAGTAAATTAATAACCATAAATATTAATTTTTTAATACTTCAGATTATTCGGTTTGGTGGTTTGACACTGGTTTCGTTTTGGTTTTTACGGTTTTCAGATGATATTAGAACTAATGGGTACTAAAAAATTCTTGATTTGGTTTTGAGCTAATTTGGGTTTTTATGATTACAGTTTTTTTCCTTCTCTAATTTGGGTTTTTATGATTTTAAGATAATATAACCAACCGGTTTGTAAAATAATTTCGATTTGGTTTTAGGTTAGACTGTAGACATTTTATTTTGGTTCGGTTCGCTTTCTCTTTAACCGTTTTTGTTCCATCCCTGATTTGGTTGGTGCGAAAACCAAAATTTAGGACTAAAACGCCGTCGTTGTGATGATTTCCGCGATTTTAAGGAATTAGAATTTAGAAGGGCCTAAAACGTCGTCGTATTATAATAGATTGCTGTGTGTGCGAGAGAGTCGGAGGAGAGATATGGCGGCGTTGATGAAGTCAGTCACCGTCCGAGCTCTGAAGTTCTCGTCGGCGGTGAATTTCAAGTTGAACCGTTGCGGCGGAACGCCAAAACTCTCTGTTAGATCATTCTCTGCTATTATGTCACCACCGTCAAAAGCCATCGTGTACGAACAACACGGCTCTCCCGATTCTGTCACCAGGTTCGCATAATTGCATCGGAACTTCGTTCTACGGTTACTGTATGTAATCATCCATTTTGACCTTTTTTTCTCTTTTGGCGAAGACAGAGTGGTGAATCTCCCGCCGGTGGAAGTTAGAGAAAACGATGTATGTGTTAAAATGATCGCCGCGCCGATCAATCCCTCTGATATCAACCGAATTGAAGGTTTATTTCTTCATTATCTCTCTAATTCGATTCATATGATTATGATATGTTGAAGAAATAATGTTTGATTACTTTATTAACTATACCAGTTAATGAAGGAGTTTATTTGATTAGAGAGAAACTTGTATATATAACTTTCAGTACAGGAGAAAATCTCAGTAACAAGTATGAGAATCACTTTCTGAGAATTAATAAACATATGATCACTTATCATCTTCTCCATTCTCGTTTTTATCTGAAAGCTAAGAGTTTTGATATAAACATCATTTAGAGTTAATGAAGGAGTTAACTGAATTTGAATATTGAGGAACTGGTATATTTTAACTTTCAGTATCTGAGAGAGTCTCTGTAACTTTGAGAATCAATAGCATAAGATCCCTAACTTCATCTTCTCCATTTTCGTTTTTAACTTAAAGCTAAGAGTAAGATATAAATTTAGATACTGAGTTCGATGTTGTGAAAATTAAAATTTGTTTAGGTGTTTATCCTGTGAGGCCTCCGGTACCAGCGGTTGGTGGTTATGAAGGTGTTGGGGAAGTATATGCAGTTGGCTCCGGTGTCGATGGTCTTTCTCCAGGTGATTGGGTGATTCCATCTCCACCATCTTCAGGTAAACTCTGTGCTCTTGAGACCAATCTTGATTAGTAGTAGGAATCTGACATTTGGATGATCTGAATCTGATGAAATTTCTCTGTGATAAGGGACTTGGCAGACGTATGTTGTGAAGGAGGAGAGTGTGTGGCACAAAATTGACAAAACGTGTCCGATGGAGTATGCGGCGACGATCACTGTTAATCCGTTGACGGCTTTAAGGATGCTTGAAGACTTTGTGTCCTTAAACTCCGGTTTGTAACTGTATCTCTAGCCTCGCCTATAAAGTAACAACTGCCCTTTACTTGTTTTTTGTGTCCTAACCAACTAATCATTTGAAGCAGGAGACTCTGTGGTACAGAATGGTGCAACAAGTATCGTGGGTCAATGTGTAATCCAGTTAGCAAGGCTCCGTGGCATCAGTACCATCAACATTATTCGTGACAGGTGTGGTATTATATTATGAATAAATACTTAAGATATTTGGTTACTAAGAATCAGAGCGGCTCTGGTTAAGTGAATCGTGTCCTGTGCCTCTGATCTTAGGGCTGGGTCTGATCAAGCAAAGGAGAATCTGAAGGCTCTAGGTGCAGATGAAGTGTTTTCAGAGAGGCAACTGAATGTAAAGAACGTGAAAAGTCTTTTGGTAAGATTTAACTTCTAAGAGTGTTATATGGCAGAAACTTCGAGTATATACGCACGCTTAACATATGTGTATGTGTGGTCTAAGGGGAACTTACCTGAACCAGCTCTTGGATTCAACTGTGTTGGTGGCAATGCCGCTTCTCTCGTGCTCAAATTTCTGAGGTGAACTCAACATTTCCTTTTTTCGTTCCACTTTCATTTGATTTCCCTCTGTGGTGAAGGTTGCTTAAACATTTTCAGGGAAGGAGGAACAATGGTTACATATGGTGGGATGTCTAAAAAGCCAATCACTGTGTCAACAACATCTTTCATCTTTAAGGTAATGGATAGATCCTTGACACACAAATTTTAGATCACTATGCTAAAGTTTGTTTGTACTGTAGGATTTGGCCTTGAGAGGCTTCTGGTTGCAGAATTGGTTGAGTGTGGGTAAAGTAAAAGAATGCAGAGAGATGATAGACTATCTCCTCGGGCTTGCGCGGGAGGGAAAGCTAACATACGAGTGAGTTTTTTTTTTCTTTCTCAAGTCGAGATTCTTAACTTCCCTGAGAGTATCTTTAAATTATAAATGTTTGGTTTTCTTCTGACAGAACTGAACTGGTTCCGTTCGACGAGTTCCATGTTGCTCTCGATAAATCTCTCGGGAAGGTAGGTAGGCAACCTAAACAAGTCATCACGTTCTGAAGCTTTCTCTTCTTGTGAGCCATATATAAGTAAGTGGTTGCCACTCTGATTTAGCGTGTTAGCTATTATTAGTAATCTGATGATGCACAATGTACTGTAACTTTATTGTACTCTCTGCTTCTTCTTCTTCGTGTCCAATGTAACAGAAACAATAAAAATGTAGACCGAAGAAACCAAAATAAATCATTATGGTCATGTTTCAGAGTTGCATTATGTTAACAGAAAACCATAAGAATTGTTCAGTGATGTGAGAAAAGCATATTTCTAATCAATGTTATTGTTCTGTGTGTAATTATTCTTGGGAAAGATAATTATAGTACAAAACTTATTTTCTCACTGCTAATCTTCAAATAAGCGTTGTCATTCATATGCCCAATTTTTTAGTCAACCACCAATATTAAGTAAATTCATTTTTGCAAGGGCATTCGATTAGATTTAGGAACTGTTTACAAAATCATCATTACAAAGCAGAGAATAAAAATAGAGGAAACGAATTAAAAATATGACTGTTGTCCAACTTATCTTCTACCATATCAGTGATTTATGTGTTTAATTTTCTAATTACCTTGAAATGTATTACCTTCAAAATGTACATTCATGGTGTTGTGAATATGAGTAACATTCATTGAATAGTAATGATTAAATGACTAATACTGTAATACAATAGTGAGAAAAAGTGTATCTGTTAATTTCGATATATAATAAATTACTCAAGTTTAAAACTAGGTCAGCATATAAATAAGGAAACAGCCACACTTGTCCCTCTCGCTCTCTCTTCTTTACGATTTGGGGTTTCTCGGAATTGAGTCTCTTACCGAACAACCCAACGATTTTCTTAAACGGAACCCTAAAAACCGCATCCGATCGTTTTCCTCTGGTACGAATCCTTACCCTAAATTCGCGAAAATTGATTGCTTTCTCTTCCTTCCCTGTGGTTCAGAATTCGAAACCCTAGCTTTCTTTTTGATACGACGAATCTATGCCACAAAAATCTTAGCTTGACAAGCAAATCGAATCTGAAAGATAAAAGGCTTATCTAGATCTTAGTATTGATAATTATGTTTTTCCCACTGATACATCTTCTCTATCTATCTATAAAGTTAGTTTTGATGTGAATGTTTCAATGTCATTGAAGGTTGGTGGTATCTTCTTCTCCTATGGACGACTATCAAAATTTTGTGGCTGAGGGAAATACTCTCTCAAGTAAAGGTGAATTGAATACTATTCCCTTTGCGAAATTTTCTTGATTGATTGTGTTCCTTACTACAGATGTTTCAATCACTCTTCTTTTTTAAATGTCAGCGATTCGAAAGAGAGTGAAGAACTCTGAGTCTACAGCGTTACAGAGATGTAAGATTGATGACTATGATTTCGCGGATCTTGATAAGGTTTTGAATGATGTCTATCGCTCTTTTCGACCTGTTTCTGCCGACTACGATACTAGGAAGGATATGGTGAAACTCCTCAATGCAATGGCTTTAGATATTTATGGTAATATAACAACATTACTTGCTTCTAGATTAAGTTTAGATTAAACGTTCAAAAGATCACATTGTGATGGTTTTTGTTAATTTTTTTCAATCAGGAAATTTTGTAGATAGTAGCCCGGTCCTTGAGGCGTATGGATCTTTTGTGATGGATATGTTTTCCTCGAAGAGTGATTTGGATGTATCCATTAACTTTGGTGACGGAACATATGAGCTTCCTCGTGATACGAAGATCCAAATCCTTAGAAGATTTGCTGAAAAGCTACGATCTTTGCAGGGTGAGTCTTATTTGTTATTTGTTCCACTCATGCTGCTGATTCTATGATTTGAGTGTAATTAACATTATTGAGACTTTTGTTTTAGATTCTAAGTCATTAGTAGTTGTTAAAAGGTGTATGCCAAAACTTCTTATTTGGCAGTGGCTGAATGTGAAACTAAGTGTGTAACATTTCATAGAATGATGAGTTTTTCATATTAGATGATGTTGCTGTAAAGTTGTTTTTGCAGGACAAGGGCGTGTTAGGGATGTCGAATGTATCCTCAGTGCGAGGGTGCCGATTGTCAAATTCGTTGATCAGAGGACTTCTGTTGAATGTGATTTGTCAGTCGAAAACAAAGACGGCATGTTGAATTCACAGATCATTCATATTATCTCTCAAATTGATGAGAGGTTTCAGAAACTTTGTATGTTGGTAAGATGGTTACGTTCTGTTTTAACCATATATATATATATGTGTGTTTCTTTTTGTTAACCCAAGCTTTAGATATGTTTAGTTGTGGTCAATACTCAATACAATTACTGATGTGACGGTTCTCCTATGTCAGGTTAAGCATTGGGCCAAAGCACATGAAGTTAACAGTGCTTTACACCGAACCCTGAATTCTGTATCTATAACATTGTTAGTCGCTCACCATTTACAGGTATTAACTCAGCCACGCTTGTTGGATATAGCCACTTACTTTTCATATACTAGTTACAATTATACTACAAGATGTTGGCTTAATTTATGTAGAATTTCGACTTTTGAGGAAGATTAATAGGTAGCTAGTATGATTGTTTTATGGATGAATTAATCTTTTAAAGCAAGTCGGATAAGAATATTACATTTTCTTTTCATCATTTTTAAGGTTACATGTAGTCATTAATGTCTTATTTGTTTCTCTTTATGTGTTAACGCAGAGTCAAAGTCCTCCCATTCTACCTCCATTCTCTTCACTATTTAAAGGTACATTTTGTACTTCTTTCTTTTATAACAGATTTAACATATGCGAATGTTTTAGTGGATTGAAAATGTTTTTGCGATAATATCAGAATATTACCAGATTACGTTTTCTCGTGGTCACACAGAATTTATGTTTCATTATCATCGACGTTTCGCTTTTGCTTGTGTTGTTTCCCGTTACGACGTTAAATTGCCTCTGTTATCTTTTTTTCAGATGGAATTGATCCTACAAATGTTAAAAGAAGGATGGAGACAAGGTTCTTGAACTGGGGACAACGAAATAAAGAGTCTTTGGGTAGACTATTTGTAACGTTTTTCGTCAAGGTGCTTTGTTTCTTACCTTTTTTAAACCCAAAACATCAATGAAAAAGACAATATCTACAACATGCTTTTGTTATAACTTAAGATAGCTTTTCTGTACTGCAGCTGCAATCTGTAGAGTTCCTTTGGAGAAAAGGGCTTTGCGTCAGTTCGCTGAATGGTCTTTGGATATCCAAGAAGTGGGAACAACGCAGCGGCGGATCCATTAGTGTAACTATTTCCCTTGGAACTCAGTTTCAGTAACATCTCTTACTTACTCTTTGTCGTACTGCTTCAGATTTCGGTGTGTGGTTGTGACAGGTTGAGGATTTTACAGACGTTTCTCAGAATGTTGCTAGGCGGGTTAATGAGAAAGGAGCTAAAAAGATTTACTGTTCTATACACGAAACCGTCGATGACCTTCTTGAATTCCTCCAAGATGTCGAGATCACCGGAACACATCTCAGAGACAAGCTGTTTCGCCACCAACCTGTTGTGCTGCCTCCTCCTCCTCCTTTGCCGCCACTCGATGCTTACAGACAAAAGCCTTATAAGTACGAAATTGGGTATGTCGGTCTAATACAAGAAGTGCATCACAGCAAAAGGGTATGCTTGGGAAACAACGGCTACAGAGCCGTGGAAGGAGCTGGTCACATGAGAGTTGAGGAGGAGAGGTACGAGAACCTACGCAACAGGTACGCCGGAAACCGCCGTGAAGAGTTTCATCACGAGCCCTTGGATGATGATGATCCTTACAGACAAGCCCCGTTGAATAGTCCAAGAAATGGTGGTTTGGTTCGACATAGGCATGGTGGTGGTGAAGAGGAAGAACCAAAGCGTGTAGGCCTGATCCGAGACTACTGTGGTATGATTAGTATTCCACCGCCACCACCACCTATTGGTAGAGTTGGTAGAGCTTATTATGAGTGTTTCGGTCCTCAAAACTTCCCTGAACCTTATTTTGGTAGACCACACTAGGGTTTTTATGCTTAAGCATAGAGTTTAACTATAACTTCAACTAGGTTTTTCACTCGCTCTATATTATAAATTGTTTAATATATATTTGATTGAATAATTTTTACATTACTTAAAATATAATAATAATTTTTTCTATATAATATTTGGTTACAAAAAAAAATTTATTGTTTTTTTCTGTAATTAATTGTTTTAAAAAAATTATGATTATTTTTAAATATTAGACTAATATGTGTTTTATATTGTGAATTTATCACAAAATAACTATTTGTTACCTATTGTAGTTAAATTTTTTTAAAATAATCAACCAATTTAAATAGGAAATTGTATTTAATTTTTTTAAGTATTTAAAATTGTTTTTGCTTTCTTTTTAAATTTTATTACTGGTAAAAATTTGGGTTATTAATAGATAAATTACACAAACATATTTGATTTTATAATATTTTTGATGATTTGTTTTTAGATTGTACCAATATATAAGTTTTCAAATAAAACAAAAATTTAGAATTTATATATGAAGTTCTCAACAAAATAACCGCTTATATAGAAATATTGTATTTATCTTTATAAAATGTTTTATTAAAGTACTATATATTCACTCTGTTTTATTATAATTAATGATCAATGGTTTTTCGTTTCAATTTATTTGATTTTTTCTTATATCTATATAAAATTTCAATTTATTTTAATTTATAATTAAATAAAATATATTTTTGTCAAAAAAGTTCAAAAGTCTTTTACCAAAGTCTAACAACTTTTAAGTTAAAACATTAATTATTTTCTTTACTTATTATTTACTAGTTGCCTTCCATTCTACACTATTTACTATTTTAATTAATTTATTAAATAGTATTTTAAAAAGATATAAATTAGGTTTGTTAATCAGTGTACTGTTATCTAGTTTATCAATCAAAATGAATTCAAATATTTATACTTCTGTTTTGAAACAAAATCAACAAATAAAAGTCGATCAATGTTTCAATACTAAATATCTTTAAAATACACGAGTTTTAGATATACCTAAATCTATTTGAGATTGCATTTCATCATTTCAAAATATAGATTAGATCAAGTTTTTTTAGCAAAAGTATATTCGTCTTTGTAAATGCTACAAAATGATATAAAGTTGTTCAAATCATACTTTTCTATTTGTCTTTATAGTTTTTTTTATCAAAATCTGTATATGTATAATTTTAAAAAATATTTTGTTTGATCAAATACTTGTAATTTAATATACCAAAAAGCCACCTAAAAGAGTAAAAATAATAATCAAATTCTATTTAATAAACATAATATTAACATGAAAATATACAATAATACTTTAATTTTTCTAACCAAAGAAAATAACTTTTGTCATCATCTTTAGCTCTATTCTTGTTATGAATTGCTTGTTTCAGGTCATATATGAATATTGTTGCCTTAAAATAGTTTTAATTTTTATAAGTAATACATATAATATGTTTTTTAAACAATTAATCTTGGTTATAACTTATAACAAACAATGGTGATAAAATTATTATATTATAAAAAATAAATTATTCTTTAAACATGAGTCTATTTATATTATATATAAAACAACCTATTATTATTAATTTTAGATGGTCTTTATATAATTGAAAGTGTTATTTTTAATTAATAGATTTTTTTAATCTTATATTTAGTTGATTTTTTTTATTCTACATGATTTGCTTATCTTTATATGTTTTATCAGTTAGTATAATATTTAAATTTGGAAATTTTCTTAATAAGTCAAAAAAGAAAATAATTAACTTAAAATTTAATTAATTACAGAAAGTGATGTTGACCAATGAACTGAATCTATTTATAATTTATATTATTTTTTTATAATCTAATAATATGTTAATTTTATTTTTGTTGTTAATACGAAAGTAATATCTTGATTGTTAAACTCGTTTTATTAATAATTATCTAAAAATTTAGAAACTTTCTTAATAACAACAAATACAAAACTAATTAAAATTTAGAAATTTTACTAATAACAATAAAAATTAAATTAAATTAATTTTAATATATATATAATAAACTATAGATGATGATGTATACCAATATAAATTAAATCTTTTAAATCTTATGTGGACACTCTAAGAGGTCTATAATATTAACTTATATTTTATTAGTTAGTATAATATTAGAATTTTAATATTTCTTTAATAAGTCAAAAAGAAAATAATTAAGTTAAAATATAATTAATTAAAGAAAATGATGTGGATCAATGAAATAATTTTTTTAATAATTTATATGATTTTTATAAACTAATAATATGTTAATTTTCTTTTTATTGTTAATAAGAAAATAATTTATTTATTGTTAAAATGGTTTTTATTAATCATTTTCTAAAAAATTAGAAACTTTCCTAGTAATAATAATTTTTTTTTAGAAACTTACTATTAAACTAAATTATATTAATTTTAATATATGTAATTAAATATAGATGTTGATGTGTACCAATATAATTAAACCTTTTAAATCCTATGTGGACATCTTTAGAGGCATTTAGCATCAACTTTTATTAGTAATAGACTAGGCTTTTAATTCGCGCTACGCGCGAATCTGTATTTATAATTTGGTTTAATTTTTTGGCTAATATCTTTTAAATTATCAAAACTATGATATATTTGTAGAAATTTATTTTATATAAAAAACTTAAAACATAATATGTAGTATTTCCAATTTTTGTTTATAAAATTATAAATCTTATTAAGTAAAATCATAGTAATGACACCTAACGAAATATCCAACTTCGATGTGCATATGTTTGATTTAGAAAATGATTTTCTTACTAAATTTTTGGTGTTTTGTTTTGTATCCTTAGGATTTCTATGGTTCTTTTTTTTTAAAAGGTTTATATTTTTAAATATTTAGTTTCTTTACTAAACGTCTCACTAATATTGTGTATATATATATATATAATATGATATATGTTGATTCAGATTTACTTTTGTTAGTAAGCTATAATAATCATGTAAAGCTGCTTTTTGCTTCTCCACCAGATCTTCTATGAATTTTAGGTTATATCTCTATTTAGTTTATAAGATCTATTTTATTTGTAGTCAACTATTTGCTAATATTTGTTTTTAAACATGTAATATGATGTTGAGACTTCACATTATCACTCTTCTTTTTTTTTTCTTTTTTTTTTTTATCTTTTGTGTGTTTATTCATGTTTTATTTGAATATTTTATCTTCATATATTCCCATTTGAATTTGATTCATAACTTTGCCATATTATACTATTTAAATAAAATTTTAGAGGATGTTGCTCATGTGTTGTTCATTTGACTAAGTTATAAGCAGTAAATATATATACAAATCAGACTTTATTACTTATTATATTTTGAATGTAAAGTTACTTGTGTAGTATTTTACTTTGTTAATTTGTCAACAATACACAACCAATGTATTAATCTTTGTAAATTTAAATAATATGTTGGATTTAGAAACTTGTATAACCTATTAAAACTTTATATGACTATTCATAGTCAACACTAATATTTTCGAAATTATGAATGTTTTTGGAACTATTTTTCAAAACTAATTTTCTTCTTAGATCTTGTTTTTTGTTATTTTAAATGTCTTCAATGGTAATTTTATATTTTATATTAATTATCTAATTTTCTGCAGGTTTGATATACTTAAAACATATATATTTTTAATTAATCTTTTTTGTTATTGATTTTTCAAATAGGTAGCATGTTTATTAATCAAATACCTTTTACATAAATACTTTTTCTTTGTTAAATTTACTTTTAAAATTAATTAAAATTAATTACCTCTCTTGATATTTATTTTTATTTTAATTTAACACACCATTGTTTATAAAATATTGATAATTTGAAGACATAAATTTTTTGTTAGTTAAATATTTTTATATAAATTTTTAAGTAGTTAGTGAGATATGAAGTCAATATATTTTTAAGTGTTTAAAAAAATAATATTTTGTAAAACTTAATTTTCGTTTTAGTTTTTTAATTAATTTCTTAATATTGATTTCTCAAATAATTAGCTTAAATATTTATATTATTTTTGTTCGTTAAATTTTTTAGTATTATTTAATTATTTTTATTATCTTACTTATTCTGCTTATATTGATTTTGGTAAATGAATAATATAGATATTAAGTTAATATCCTCTTTTTTTTGTTAATATAGCTTTCTCGATATGGATTTTCATTTTAATTGTACTGACATTTTGTAAGTATCATTTTTGGTTTGTTGTGATTTTTGTGTTAATTTTTTAAATATTTCCCCAAAAACTATAAGTTTTAGATGACTTTCTTTTTTGATAATTTAAGATGAATATTTTTTTGGTAGTATTGATATTTTTAAATAACAATTTTATATGTTCATATGAAAATTTAATCTTAATATTTTTTCTAAATAAATTACTCATTTTAAATATATATGCTATATTTTTTTTTAATTTAACTTTTTTGTTATTTATTTACATATTTGTTTTTGTTAGTTTAGTTTTTGTGACAATGTGACCATTTTATTTTCACAATATATTTGGATTTTTGACATAAATTTATTTTATTTAGTTAAAAAAAAATATCTTAATTTTCTATTCTATTGTGATAATTTTATATTTCGTATGTTTTAATTTATTTAAATTTTAATAATTTTTTTTATTTTTTCTGTTTAAAGAAAAACACTGATATAGGCTAATCAGATTGAGTATATATGTCATATGTGGACGCTCTCATTGGCCTAAGACATCAACACAGACCACAACTAATATATTTTAAGTTAGCAGTTCAGATTTTAATTGTTTGTCATGATTAAAATTTTAAAATAATTTAATTATGGTTTTATATACAGTTTTTAGTTAAGTTTTTAGTATTATTTAAGTTTTTTTATTCTCTTACTTATTCTGTTTATATTGATTTTGTTAAATAAATAACATAGATATTAAGTTAATATCTTCTTTTTTTGTTAATTTAATTTTCTTGATATGGACTTTCATTTTAATTGTATTGACATATTGTAAGAAATAATTTATGTTTTGGTTTTTGTTAGTTAAACATTTTTTGCATTGCTTTCTTCAGTAATTAGCATAAAGTATCATTTTTGGTTTGTTTAGATTTTTGTGTTAATTTTTTAAATATTTCCCCAAAAATTATAAGTTTTAGATGACTTTCTTTTTTGATAATTTAAGATGTATATTTTTTTGGTAGTATTGATATTTTTAAATAACAATTTTATATGATTATATGAAAATTTAATCTTAATATTTTTTCTAAATAAATTACTCATTTAAAATATATATGCTAATTTTTTTTAATTTAACTTTTTTTGTTATTGATTTACATATTTGTTTTTGTTAGTTTAGTTCTTCTTACAATGAGTTTCCATTTTATTTTCACAATAGATTTCGACTTTTGACATAAATTTATTTTTTTTTAGTTAAAAAAAATTATCTTAATTTTTCATTCTATTGTGATGATTTTATATTTTTGTATGTTTTAATTTATTTAGATTATTAATAATATTTTTTTTATTTTTATGTTTAATGAAAAACGCTGATATATACTAATCAGATTGAGTATATATGTCATATGTGGACGCTCTCATTGGCCTAAGATATCAACACAGACCAAAACTAATATATTTTAAATTAGCAGTTCAGATTTTAATTGTTTGTCGTGATTAAAATTTTAAAATAATTTAATTATGGTTTTTAAATACAGTTTTTAATAATTTTGTTCAATATATATGGTTTTTCTTTCATAATCTATTTATATGTTAATTTACCTTTTTATTGTCAATAAAAATAAGATCTATTTTCAAAACTCTTTTTATTAATAACTAATTTAAAATTAGAAACTTTCCTAATAACAACAAAAATAAAATTAATTAAAATTTAGAAATTTTCTTTATAACAATTAAAATGAATTAATTAATTTTAATATATAATATATAATTAACTAAAAATAATGAGATGTGTACTAATAGAATTGAATCTTTAAATCCTATGTGAACATCTTTAGAGACATTTAGCATCAACTTTTATTAGTAATAGAAGTAACTCAAAAAAGAAAATAATTAACTTAAAATTATAATTTATTACAGAAAATGATGTGGATCAATAAAATGAATATTTTTATAATTTTTATGATTTTTATAATCTAATAATATGTTAGTTTTCTATTTATTCTTAATAGAAAAATAAGATCTAATTTCTATATATTTTAAACTCATTTTTATTAATAATTATCTAAAAATTTAGAAACTTTCCCAATAACAAAAAATATAATTAATTAAAATTTAAAAAGTTTGCTAATAATAATAAAAACGAAATTAATTAATTTTAATATATATATATATAATTAAATGTGTATCAATATAAATGAATCTTTTAAATCTTATGTGGATACCCTTATAAGTATTTAGTATCAACTTTTATTAGTAATAGAATAGATTGTTCCGATAAGAAAGACAATTTATTCCTTAATTTCCTTTACTAACAATTTAATGGGGGAGGGGAGGGGAATCAGTGTTTTTGGTTAGTTCTGTTTAGCTTGAGTGAAAAACGTAAGGAAGTGAAAATTACAGTTATTTATTGATGAAAACGACATGATGTTTTGCATCTGAAATTTGAACCAGGCTTGGTCCGGTTTAGAGTTTAGGCAATGAATTTGATCCCGGCTTGGTTCGGTTTACGTGGTGGTATGGTATTGTAATCTTTGCAGAGCAAATCGCCAAAATCTGCGCCGCCGTTGTTTCCGTCCGTCTACTTTTGGCGTCAGCCACCGGAAGCGTCGGTTCTCTTCAAACGAGAGAGAGAGAGAGAGAGAGAGAGAGAGAGAGGTTTTGAGAAGCTTCAGAAAATTCATCGGAAGATTTTATCTGAGGAAAGTGTTTCTGCTTCTTCTGAGCTCGAACCAACGGAATTTTTAAAGCTCATTTTAGATATCAATTTTGTTTCGCTATGAACATTACAATTTATCTGCCAGTTTCGTCATCTCTGTCGAACTAGTGATCTTTGTAAGGTTTCAGCTAAAGGGGGAATGTTGTTTTGCTTTGTGTATTTGAAATCTCTCAAGTCTTCTTTTTTTTCTTGCAGGCAAAACATTTCTCTCAAAGATGGCGTTTTTGGCACTATCCCGTGTTTCACGACGGTTACTGAAACCATCCGTCTCGGCAACTCCATCTTCTTCGTTTTCTGTTTTCCAATCTCAACAACACATATACCACTCCAAACATGTTGATGTTACCACTACCCATTACATCAACCCTTTCTCAAAGTATCCTTTACAGAATCATAACTGTCAAGTATGGTGTAAAGGCACGGAATCGCATCAGGAAAGGTTTCTCTATAGATTAGTTGCTGGAATGTCATCGTCGTCTTCGATTATGGAGGGAAATCCTAAGAAAGGTGATGACAAGGAGAAGAGTGGTGTTGGTGTGAAGGAAGCTTCTTGGATAGATTTGTATTTGCCAGAAGGAGCTAGAGGTTATGCTAAGCTTGCTCGACTGGATAAACCTATCGGAACTTGGTTGCTTGCTTGGCCCTGTATGTGGTAAGTTTCTCATTTCTTTCTCTTAGTTTCTAATCAAGATTCGGTTTCATTTAGCAGAATGAATAGCTGAGAACAAACAAGAGACTGCGAGTTTATAAAGTTTCTTTTTTTACTCCTTGGGGATGTATGATCATGTGTTTTAGATCATCTTGAAGGGTCTCATATGTAGTATGATCTTGTGCTGAGATGTTCTTGCTGGTTATAGAATTTATATTCTGAATTTCGACAGTTGTTGTATAGGTCAATTGCGTTGGCTGCTGATCCTGGAAGCCTTCCAAGTTTGAAAATGATGGGTTTATTTGGTTGCGGAGCACTACTTCTTAGAGGTGCGGGCTGTACTATAAATGATCTGCTTGATCTGGACATAGATACAAAGGTCAGTCTGAGATTATTTGTTAATGATGACAAAGTGATTTCAATTTTAGAGATCCCTTTAGTACAACCATGGTCTCTGTGACTATAGTGAGAATAGTGTTTCTGCTGGAATATGTCAGATGTCTATTTTTCTGCATGTATTGATGACTTTGTCAAAAAAAATACTTTATATATCTGATGCAGTTAAGGTTGAATATGCTTTTGGATGAAATATGCTACACAATGAGACTATACAGTGTTAGGCTGAAGATTTTTATTTCATTGCTTCGTTTTAGATTGTAAGAGATATTGCTTTTCCTGTCCAGGTTGATCGAACAAGGTTGAGACCTATTGCTAGTGGTCTCTTGACGCCATCTCAAGGGATTCTGTTTCTTGGGCTACAGTTGCTTTTAGGCTTAGGGATTCTTCTCCAGCTTAATAATTACAGGTTTGTTTGGAATTTTTTTGCGTGCCCTAAAGTCGAGTTTCCGTAAGCGTTTTGTTTAACGTCATATACACATATGAATCACCACTTGTAGTCATGATATTATGCAGCCGTGTTTTAGGGGCATCATCTTTGTTACTTGTCTTCTCCTACCCACTTATGAAGAGGTTTACATTTTGGGTAAGTTAAAATCCATTATGGCTTCTCAAAGTCAGTCAGAGAGTGTGTTTTATTCTCGTGATCGATTCTGTTGTTGCTGTCGTCTAGCCTCAAGCATTTTTAGGTTTGACCATAAACTGGGGAGCACTGTTAGGATGGGCTGCAGTTAAAGGAAGCATACAGCCATCTGTTGTACTCCCTCTTTATCTCTCAGGAGTCTGCTGGACCCTTGTCTATGATACTATTTATGCACATCAGGTATAAATAATTGCTTCAACTTGTATTCGTTATGCAAAGTAGTTAATCTTAATGTGCACCTCTGCAAATTTCTCTAAGCTATTGTTTCATGTCTCATGCGAATGCATCCGTTTCGATGTTCAACTGCTGTCTGATGTCAGTTCTTTAGAAGAAAGTTGCTCAAAAGTGTTGCTATTTTGAAACAAAAGTGAGAAGGGAAAGTTATCTTGTAGCAGATTGTAGAATGAAAAAGTTTGATCACAGTCCCACCTTAAAATAGTATATGCCACAAGTAACAAAACTCAAAACTTGAGTTTTTTATGACAGTAATTTTGAGATATGGTAGAGAATTTGTTATTGTTTGTCCAGGACAAAGAAGATGATGTGAAGGTTGGTGTGAAGTCAACGGCTCTTAGATTCGGTGATAATACAAAGCTTTGGCTAGCTGGATTTGGTACAGCATCCATGGGGTTTCTTGCACTTTCTGGACTGAGTGCAGATCTCGGTACCCCAAGAATGAACTTTACAAGAGTGTTCTTTTGTTGTTGTGTTTCTTGCTCTAATTTTGATGATACAGGTTGGCAATACTACGCATCACTGGTCGCTGCATCGGGACAGTTAGGATGGCAAATAGGGACAGCTGACTTATCATCTGGCGCTGACTGCAGTAGAAAGTATGTGTTTTTTGGTTTTTTGGTTTTGCTTTGGAAAACTAACACTTTGTTGGGTTTGATGTTTTTTTCCACAGATTTGTGTCAAACAAGTGGTTTGGTGCTATTATATTTAGTGGCGTTGTACTTGGAAGAACTTTTCAATAGAGAGAAAGCTCGGTCTCTCTCTCTCTCTCGCTTATAACGAATTCGGAAGAAGACTGGAAAATGCTTATTAAAGATTTTCGGTAATCGGATCTGAAATGTCCAATAGTAATAATGATAATATATGTTGGAATGGTGAATGCTCTAGAGCCAATGTTGTTATTATGATTCAAGTCTACAATGCTCTAGTTTCTAATAATGAGATAAACTATTCAAAATGGATCTTGGGTTTTCTGAATTAATGAGCAGTTTGCATCTTCTGTATACATTTATCAGTTTAGCTAGATTCACCTAAATCTACACTGTGACTGGATCATAATATTTGATATATTAATATACATTTTTTTTTTGTCAACGACGATATATGGATTATATGTGCATATTTGTGTGTGTATTTATAAAGATTCGGAACGTTTTGCAGCTGGATCTACTGTTTGTCTATATGTGTATGTAAGTATTATATGTTTGTGAACTGCGAAACCATTGTTACTTACATCAGTTTTGGAGTAACATATGTTAGAATATTTTATTATAACAATTGAAAGAAGAGAAGTATAGACTAGTTAACCACTTTCACAATTCACTATTTGTCATAGTTTGTTAGTATACTATGATGATTATCATCTTCCGGTGTCATAACACGGAATGTAATTACAACATCCATGAGTGTCATGTCGAAATCACTCGCCTTCTGCAAAATAAAATAAAATAACTAAAACATGAAGCTATAATGGTGATAGCAAGAGTTGCTCTAAGATTAAGAACAGGTTCTTCCTTTATATATATGTGTGTTCCCGGACTCGATGTGTATATACCTTAGCTATAAATGGTGATGATACCAAGAGTTGGTCCAAAGGGAAAAACACTTGAGTTAGTTATTGAAAAACGAAATTTCTCAATCTAAGCCATAATCTTAGCAATATGACCTTCTCGTATTTATCTCAGAATATTTAAATAAAAAAACTGTCAAAAATTAGTCAATGTGATTGTGTACAGTTCATAAATGAATTCATAGAAATAGTAGTATGAAAGTATTTTATTTAGTAGAACATAAAATCATGTATGTATGAAATCATATGTATGTTCATATATTCTTTTCCTTCTGATTGATATCTTTGGATCTTTCCATGAATAAGTTTTCAGGGCAAGTTCCAGACTTCATAGGCAACCTTCTAGCACTCAAAGCTCTCAAGATTGATATTATATTCAACCTTCCTGTGTAAATAAATCCTTAATATGTTAAAAATTTTGCATTATTTTGAAATATCTCCAGGTTATCACTATAAGAAAAAACTATATTACATCATTTATAAAGTATCAATAAAATAACTAATTATGTGTAGAATCATTAATTAAACACTAAATATAAAATTTTACATCATTTTGTTTAATTGATACTAATTTTAACTTGACTAGTATTAATTAAAAATAATTGATACTAATACTAACTTGATTAACATCAATTAAAAATAATTAATACAAATCATTATTAATTTATATAACTTTTAAAAAACAAACACAAATATACAAGTTTACATCAATTATACTCCCTCCGTTTTTTATATATGATGTTTTAGAAATTTTTTTTGTTAAAAAATAGTTGATGTTCTCACACATCTATACAGAAATTAATTATATTTTTATTGTTTTAAGTGTTTGAATTTTATATATTATTTTTCTATTGGTTCAATTGTTTTGGAATTGATGATAAAGCATGTTTTGTTTTGGAAAAATAAAAAATTAAATAATTTTTAATATATGTGTAAAAACTTTAAACATCATATATAAAAAAACAGAGGGAGTATAAGTGAAGCATTTGATCAACTGACATTATCATCAATAATAAATAATGCTAATATTTCTTTCAGTTATAAAAGTGATGCAAATAAAATTTTAACTAAACAATTATTTGTCCCACATTGCTAAAAATGACGAAGAGTATTAGTTTCCTCCTCTATAAAAGAAATTCATCAACATTAAACTTTTTTTTAATGTTAAATCATATGTATGTATTTACATATATTTATTATTCTAAAATTATTATTTATCTTAAATTTATAATATTATAAAAAATTAACACAAAATTTTAAAACAACATAAATTTTAATGAACTCCAATCAGATAATGGAAATGATGGTTGCCTATATGCGTCTAGATGGAGCTGCAAGCAAAAATCCAGCAGCAAACCCTCCTGCACCACATGCCAACACTTGGAGTGAGCTGAAAGCTCCAAAAGTTGAGCTCAAAACACTTAGCTGGGCTAAGGTACGCTTTTCTTGGTCCTAACTCTACTTACCCAGTAATTATCAATGCTGAACTGAATAATGTTGAGACTGCCTTGCTTTTGTGTGAACTTAGAAAGTATCGCATAGCCATAGGCTATTCATTAGATGATATTGCAGCTATTTCACATGATCTTTGCATGCATATGATACATCTAGAGGATGAATCAATGACTTCTATAGAACATCAGAGGAGGTTAAACCCAAATCTAAAAGATGTTGTTAAGAAAGAGACAATGAAACTTCTAGAAGTAGGAGTGATCTACGCTATTTCTGATAATAGCTGGGTCAGTCCTGTCCATATAGTGCCAAAGAAAGGTGGTGTGACAGTCATTAAGAATAATAAAAATGAGTTGATTCTAACTAGAACTGTTACATGGCATATGATATGCATAAATTATTGAAAGCTGAATACTGCAACTCGTAAAGATCATTTTCCTTTTGCCTTTCATTGATCAGATGCTTGAAAGATTGGCTAACCATCCTTACTACTGTTTTCTAGATTCAGGTTTCTTTCAGATCCCCATACACCCAAGGGATCAGGAGAAAACCACATTCACTTGTCCTTATGGCACTTTTGCTTATCGCAGAATGCCATTTGACTTGTGCAATGCCCCAACAACCTTCCAGCGATGCATGATGTAGATTTTTACTGACTATATTGAGGATATAATGGATCTTTTCATGGATGATTTATCTGTCAATGGATCCACCTTCTCTGTCTGTCTTTCTAATTTGTGCAGGGTGCTTCGGCGCTGTGTGGAGAAAATTTTTGTGCTGAACTGGGAAAAGTGTCACTTCATGGTCAGAGATGGGATTGTCTTAGTACACAAGATTTCAGAGAGGGGTATTGAGGTAGACAAGGTAAATATTAGAGTGATGACAAGTGTGCAACCGCCTAATTCTGTCAAAGGAGTTAGAAGTTTCTGGGTCATGCTGGGTTCTTCATGAGGGTTATCAAGGACTTCTCCAAGATAGCACGACCATTGAATCAACTGCTATGCAAAGATGTGAAATTTCACTTTGATGCTGATTGTCTTGAGGCGTTCCACATGATCAAAGGAGCACTTGTCGGTGCACCAATTGTTCAACCACACTGCCTTTTGAAGTGATGACTGATGCTAGTGACTACGCAGTAGGAGGTGTCTTGGGACAGAGGAAAGAAAAGAAGCTTCATGTCATCTACTATGCTAGCAGGACTCTTGATGATGCAAAATGAAAGTATGGCACAACTGAGAAAGAACTTTTTGCCATTGTGTTTGCTTTTGATAAGTTCAGACAATATCTTGTGGAGTCTAAGGTGATTGTGCATACTGATCATGCTACTTTGAGATACTTATTGACCAAGAAGGATGCCAAGCCTAGGCTACTGGGATGGATACTTTTGCTGCAAGAGTTTGATCTAGAGATCAAAGATAAGGAATTGAGAATGGTGTTGCTGATCATCTGTCTAGATTGCATGTAGAGGAATCAGTTCCTCTGTATGATGACCTTCCTGAAGAGCACGTGTATGCCATAAGAATTGGGAACGTGGCTGCTCATTACACACTACCATACACCACGAAACTCCCTATAAATCCCTAGTTTGGTGACATTGCAAACTACTTGGCTGCAGAGAAGGAACCCGACAGTTTTGTGGGTTACAAGAAGAAGAAGTTCTTAAGAGACATAAGGCATTATTTTTGGGATGAACCTTGCTTGTGCAAGCAGTGTCCAGATGGTGTCTTCAGGCGCTACATTTCAGAGGAGGAGGTTCCTGGTGTTTTGTTTCACTGCCATGGTTCAAGCTATGTTGGGCATTTTGCAAATTTCAAGACAATGTCTAAAGTTCTACAATCAGGTTTTTGGTGGCCAACTATGTTTAAAGATGCACATGCCTTTGTCTCTAAGTGTGATTCATGCTAAAGAGAAGGTAACACTAACAAGAGAAATGAGATGCCCCAGAACTTTATCCTAGAAGTTGAAGTGTTTGATGTGTGGGGCATTAACTTCATGGGACCTTTCCCATCCTCTTATGGGAACAAGTACATCTTGGTTGCAGTAGACTATGTGTATAAATGGGTTGAAACAATGGATAGCCCTACAAATGATGTCAAGGTGGTTCTGAAGATGTTCAAGTATCTTCCCAGGGTTTGGAGTTCCTAGAGTTGTGATAAGTGATGGTGGATCTCACTTCATCAAAAAAGTCTTTGAGAGTTTGTTGAAGAAACATGGAGCCAATCACAAGGTAGCCACCCCTTACCATCCACAGACAAGTGGGCAAGTCGAGATTTCCAACAGGGAGATCAAAAACATTCTGCAGAAAACTGTGAACACAACTAGGAAGGATTGGGCCGTGAAACTTGATGATGCTCTTGGGGCATATAGGACTGCTTACAAGACACCTTTAGGCACGACCCCATTCCATCTTGTCTATGGGAAGTCATGTCATCTTCAAGTAGAGCTTGAGTACAAGGCAACATGGACTGTTAAGCTGTTGAACTTCGACATTAAATCTGCTTCTGAATGAAGGCTGCTGCATCTGGATGAGCTGGGTGAGATTAGGCATATGGCCTATGAGAACTCAATGATTTACAAGGAAAGGACTAAGGCCTTCCATGACAAGAAGATCATTCCTAGAAACTTTGCTGCAAATGACCAGGTGTTGCATTTCAACTCTCGCTTGAAACTTTTTCTTCGGAAGCTGAGATCAAGATGGTCTGATCCCTTCACCATCAAAGAAGTGAGACCATATGGAGCTGTTGTGTTGCTGGATACTGCAGGAGGTGAATTCGTGGTTAATGGTCAGCGCCAAAAGCTATACCTTACTGATACTGAAATCACTGAAGTGGAGACCATCCCTCTCAGTGATGCACTTCCAGCCTAAAAGGCAACCAAAGTCAAGCTCGTGACTTAAAACAAGCGCTTGGTGGGAGGAAACCCATTGGTATGTGTATATATTTCATTCTCTCTTTATTTTCTAACTTTTAGTTTTAGTTCTAAATGTTTCAGGTAAAAAACAAAAAACGCTCAGAACCACTCTCACCTCCTTT